AAAATGAAAGGCTGACTTATTTCTTATAATATTTTTTTATTTAATTTTCTTGTTGTTTTGTTATTTTTTGAAGATTTTAATCAAAAGGTTTAGAACTATTAATTAGTTTATTAATTCTAATAAGACCCTAAATAAATAAATTATTTGAATTAAGATATGAATTTGTTTACAACCACTTTTTTATTAACATTTTCAGGATTTTGTCTATTTTCTAAGTAATTTAATGATAAATTTACACTCAATTGATGGGTTACAATATTTCAAAAGTAAATAGCTGATGTAAATTAAGGTAAACGACTTATACATGCTTTCTATAAATTTATTCCTTTTTTTCTTTGAATTCTTTATTCTTATAATCAATTTAACTTTATTTATCAATTTAAATTGTCTTTTTTTTTAATTCTATTTCATTAATTTTAAATTCTATTCTAAGTTTAATTTTTGTTTTGTATTTATTTATCTTTACATTTTTTAATTTTACTATTAAAAAATATTTTTATCATCAACCAATCAATCACCTTTATTACTTATTTATTTATATTTTTGGAAATAGACTTTTGGTTTTATTATTAGTAATTTTTTATTTAAAAATATTTTTTTTTAGAGTAATAATCATTTTGATTTAATGTCATATACAATTTAATAATTTCTTTTCACAGGTAATTTATTTTTTTGGTGATAATTTAGTTTGGTTTTTCTAATATTTTTATATTTTTTGCTTCTTATCTAAAATATCAGAGATAATATTTTATTTAGTAAAGATAAAACAAATAACATATAATTTATATTTATTTCTACTTTAAATATATTTGTCTTATTTTGATATTAATATAAAATTTGATTTATTTCAAAATCAGGAATAAAAAAAATTGAATTTTTATTTTTCTGATTAAAGATAACAAATTTATTAAATTATTCGGTATTGGGGAGGCCGAATTAAAAAAAGTCTTATCCGGTCGATCACAAAAATTTAATATAAACAAACATATATTTGTTTACAAAATATAAAAGTATACTTAATAGATATTCTTCAATACAAATAAACAAAATCACCCACTAGATTATAAACAATTAGCCATTTCAAAAGTATTAATTTAATTGATTGTTTTTAAATGCTATTCAATCAATTTAAAGCTAAACTAATCTTTTTGCTTTAAAAATTTTTTACTTTAGCTTCTTAATAGCAGGAGAAACTCTATATAGCCTATTTAACAATATTATAATTAATAGAATAGAATAGAATTAAGTAAAATTTTAATTTAATAATTAATAAATAAATAAAAATAATTTACCCAAAGAAAAGTGTCAAATTTGATAACTTATTGCACTTTGCTAATGTAGAACCAAAAATAGATACATTTTCAAAATCAATATTATTATCACTTTTAAATAATTAAATAAATAATTAATTACAATTAAGAAATAATAGAAATAAATAAAGCATTTTTTATTTATTATTTTAGGTGAAAAATTAAACAAAAAACACAAAAAGAGTAAATTATTTTTTTTAATTTAATATTTTAACAATATAAAATTAATAGATAAATAGGAAAGGTTAATTAATTAATTAATATTTACTTTAGAATAAGTACCAAATTTGATAGATTATTGCATTTTGCTAAAGCAGAGCATAGTCCATGAAGGTTTTCAAAACAACCAATTTTATTATCACTTTTTATATAATAAAAATTTTTTATTTAATTTTTGAAAAGAAAGTAAAAGAATAAATAATATTAAAATTAATCAATAAATTCTAGCAAGCAAATATTTAAATTTTAAAAAAATAGATTTCATTTTAACATCTTATTATATCGCTTATTTTGAGCTTTATATTAAATTAAAGATAATTTGTTTGTATCTCTAATTAATTAATTAATTAATTACCTTAATTGAATTGTTAAAGTGTGGAGATTACTCATTTTTCCAACTTCACTCCAAGCACACTCACGAATGTTATTTCTACTAAAAATTTTAAATATAATTTATTAAAAAAATTTATTGAATAAATAAAACAAGAAATAAATAAATAAATATTATGTAAAAAAACCATCCAAAACACCTTTGAATGATTAATAAGAAATTTTAATAATTTTTATTGAATCTTAAAAATTGTTTTGAAAGAACCGATTATTTATTTATATATATCTAAAAATAAAAATATAGTTTTTACAATAGGTAAATTATCAATTTAGAAAGTTTAGAACAATTTGCTAATCCAATAAGTATTTCTGAAGCTCCATCTTAGCCAATTTAATTATTACTATTAATATTATTAAAAAATTTGCAATAAATTAAAAATAACAAACAAACAAATAAATAATTATAAACCAAAAATAAAGCTTAAATAAGCATAAATTATTATTATTATTTATTTAAATGTAAAAAAGTGGAATAATTAATTCAGTAATTAATAAGTTTTCCTTCCACTTCACTTCAATACTTCTATGAGATATTTAATAAATTTACCCAACACTAAGGATTAAACTTTAAAGATTAGCTAATTTCGCTAACGAAGAACCTAAATTTGAAGCACCGTCTTTAAAAATATTATTATAGCTATTAAATTATTATCAAATGTTTAGATTTATTTATACAAACAAAAGAAAAATAAAATATTTAAAAAGAAAAAATGCAATTTGATAAATTAATCAAATTAAAAACTAGATTAAATATTTTTGAAGTTATATTTTAATTTTATTTAAAATTAGGTTAAAGGTAGACAGACAGACATACATACACTTCTTGTTTTAGCTAAATTTTAACAAAGGCTTTAAAAATATTTTGTATAATGAGATTGATTACCCAAGATAAAGGGACAAATCTGAGAGATTTGTGCATTAAGCTAAACCAGAACTTAGTTCCTAAACACCTGTATCTCCAATACTACAATTACTTTTAATCAAAATAATAAATAAGTATTTTTTAACAATAAGAAGAGAGAAAGAAACAAACAATATTTATCAAAACACTAAAAAAGAATACAAAGAATTAATAGAAAAAAAAGCATACTTTAAATTAATTGCTAAAGTTGAGAGATTGATACAATTACCAAGTCCTAAGCCTAACTATGAAGAACCTTAAAGCTCAATGTTAATACTACTATTTAATGAGAAAAAAAACTAAGATAAGTTTTAAGAAATAAATAGAAAAATAATTTGAGTAAATCAATTAATTATACTTTAGTTTTATTTCTAAGTTTGTGTGGTCATCAAATTTAGAATTCAGGAACTTTTTATATATAATTATAAATATAAAGACTATAACTTATACAAAAGCTAAATACTTTTTCCAAAAAGTAAAACTAAGAGCATTTTTATTCTAACATTTTTTTGTTACCAATATCTTTTTCTCTGATTTTTTAAGTAAATAATTTATTTTTTATTATCAAAATTACAAATACCTTCAATTTTTAATATTTCTTTTTGATATTTAATTAATTAATTAATTAATTGTATAGCTAAATGCTATTCAAAAATATAGTGAATTGAGATCACTATTTTTTTGAATGGCTAATGCATTTGAACATTATTAATTTAAAAATAATTAATTTTATTATAGAATTTAATTAAAAATATTAATAATTTTAATTTATATTAATCTTCATCCTTTTTCAATTAATTTTTTAATTTTAAAAAACTCTTTATAAAATAATTATTATAAAATTTAATAATAATAATCTTAAATTAACTCTATATATTATTAAATTTAAATAATTTTAATATTTTGAAATTAAATAAATAAATAAAAATTAAGATTTAGAAAAAAAAATATTTATAATAAATTTAAAAATTATTTGAAATATCACAAAGCATAATATCATGATTCATGATATTTCAAATGCAGGAATGGCAATATATTAATTAATATTTCATAATTAATTAATTATTATATTTATTTGTTCTTTTTATCCATTTACAATTAATTAATTAATTAAATTTCATAAATTGCAACTCAATAATTTTGAGAAAAAAAATAAATGATATAATAGATTAAAAAATATAACAAATTAGAAGAAGTAATTATTAATTATTTTATTAATATCCTTTATATTTATATAAATTAATAAAAAAAGTTTTTAAGCTCTTCACTTTTATCTCATTAGGTTCTCCATATTAATCTGAAGTATATTTAATTAAAAATATTATTTTTATTATTATTGATATTTTTGTTTATTTAATTTTCAATTTATTTAAATAAATAATTTTTATAATAAAAATTATCATCATTATTTATTGATTTTTGTTAAAACTAACATTTTTTAGCTATTTTAACAATATTTTCATTTCAATTTTTAATTATTGAAAATTTATTTTTATTATTTGATATTTCTTCTTCATTTTTTATTATTAAAACTTACACTTAATAAAAGCTATTTATTTGTTTTACATTGTAATATTTTTAATTATAAATGTTTATTTAAAACATTATAATTCTTTTAATATACTTGATTTGTTTTCCTTTTTCTTTTTATTAAGATTTCTTATTTTTTCATTCTATGTTAATTTTATTAATTTTTTATTAATCTTATTATTTCATATTTTTTCTTCATTTTTTCCTCCTAATTAACTAGAGTGAAATACCCATTTAATTTATATCTAAAAAAAATTATAAATTAAGCTAATTTTTAGAAAGCATAACATATCTTTTTTTTGAAAAAAATAAATTTTGAAAACCTATGATGGAAAAAAATTCATAAAAAATATTTAAAATCTTAATTTTATAAAATGTAAAAGCTGGTATATAAAACTTGCTTTTTATAAATTTGTACGGTAACTTACTCTATTTAATGATATACTTTTTCTTCAATATTTAAAAAGTTCTAATTAAATTGGCGATGAAGATACATCAAGCTTAGGTTCTGCTTTAGCAAATTGCATTAATCTCTCAAATTTGACACTTAAGCTTGGGTAAAAATATTTTATTTGTTTTGGATTGTGATATTTTTAATTATAAAAACTAATTAAAAACAATGAAGTTCTTTTTTCTTTTTCTTTTTATTGTGCTTTCTTTTTTTTGTTCTTTCTTTGTTAATTTAGCTCATCATTTTATTTTTAACTTTTGCTATTATTATTTATTTCATATTTTTTCTTCATTTTTTCCTTCTAATTAACTATTTAATAATATATTTTTTCTTCAATATTTAAAAAGTTCTAATTAAATTGGTGCAATTGGTGCATCAGGCTTAGGTTCTGCTTTAGCAAATTGCATTAATCTCTCAAATTTGACACTTGAGCTTGGGTAAAAATATTTTATTTATTTTGGATTGTGATATTTTTAATTATAAAAACTAATTAAAAATAATAAAGTTCTTTTTTTTTCTTTTTGTTGTGCTTTCTTTTTTTTTGTTCTTTCTTTGTTAATTTAGCTCATCATTTTATTTTTAACTTTTGCTTTTATTATTTATTTCATATTTTTTCTTCATTTTTTCCTTCTAATTAACTATTTAATGATATATTTTTTCTTCAATATTTAAAAAGTAATAATTAAATTGGTGATGAAGGTACATCAAGCTTAGGTTCTGCTTTAGCAAATTGCATTAATCTCTCAAATTTGACACTTAACCTTAGGTAAAAACAATTTATTTGTTATCAATTGTGATATTTTTAATTATAAAAACTAATTAAAAACAATAAAGTTCTTTTTTCTTTTTATTGTGTTTGCTTTTTTCTTTCTTTCTTTGTTAATTTAGCTCATCATTTTATTTTTAACTTTTGCTTTTATTATTTATTTCATATTTTTTCTTCATTTTTTCCTTCTAATTAACTATTTAATGATATATTTTTTCTTCAATATTTAAAAAGTGATAATTAAATTGGTGATGAAGGTACATCAAGCTTAGGTTCTGCTTTAGCAAATTGCATTAATCTCTCAAATTTGAGACTTGACCTTGGGTAAAAACAGTTTATTTGTTTTGGATTGTGAAAATTTTAATAATAAAAACTAATTAAAAACAATGAAATTCTTTTTTCTTTTTCTTTTTATTGTGCTTGCTTTTTTTTTGTTCTTATTTTGTTAATTTAGCTCATCATTTTATTTTCAACTTTTGCTTTTATTATTTATTTCATATTTTTTCTTCATTTTTTCCTTCTAATTAACTATTTAATGATATATTTTTTCTTCAATATTTAAAAAGTTGGAATAAAATTGGTTATTAAGGTACATCAAGCTTAGGTTCTGCTTTAGCAAATTGCATTAATCTCTCAAATTTGACAATTAACCTTAGGTAAAAACAATTTATTTGTTATCGATTGTGATATTTTAAATTATAAAAACTAATTAAAAACAATAAAGCTGTTTTTTCTTTTTATTTTTATTGTGCTTGCTTTTTTTTTGTTCTTTCTTTGTTAATTTAGCTCATCATTTTATTTTCAACTTTTGCTTTTATTATTTATTTCATATTTTTTCTTCATTTTTTCCTTCTAATTAACTATTTAATGATATATTTTTTCTTCAATATTTAAAAAGTTGGAATAAAATTGGTGATGAAGGTACATCAAGCTTAGGTTCTGCTTTAGCAAATTGCATTAATCTCTCAAATTTGACACTTAACCTTAGGTAAAAACAATTTATTTGTTTTCGATTGTGATATTTTAAATTATAAAAACTAATTAAAAACAATAAAGCTGTTTTTTCTTTTTATTTTTATTGTGCTTGCTTTTTTTTTGTTCTTTCTTTGTTAATTTAGCTCATCATTTTATTTTCAACTTTTGCTTTTATTATTTATTGTTTATTATTTCATATTTTTTCCTTCTAATTAACTATTTAATGATATATTTTTTCTTCAATATTTAAAAAGAAACAATTAAATTGGTGCAGTGGGTGCATCAGGCTTAGGTTCTGCTTTAGCAAATTGCATTAATCTCTCAAATTTGAGACTTGACCTTGTGTAAAAACAGTTTATTTGTTTTGGATTGTGAAAATTTTAATAATAAAAACTAATTAAAAACAATAAAGCTCTTTTTTCTTTTTCTTTTTATTGTGCTTGCTTTTTTTTTGTTCTTTCTTTGTTAATTTAGCTCATCATTTTATTTTCAACTTTTGCTTTTATTATTTATTTCATATTTTTTCTTCATTTTTTCCTTCTAATTAACTATTTAATGATATATTTTTTCTTCAATATTTAAAAAGTAACAATTAAATTGGTGATGAAGGTATATCAAGCTTAGGTTGTGCTTTAGCAAATTGCATTAATCTCTCAAATTTGACACTTAACCTTAGGTAAAAACAATTTATTTGTTTTCGATTGTGATATTTTTAATTATAAAAACTAATTACAAACAATAGAGCTCTTATTTCTTTTTTTTTATTGTGCTTGCTTTTTTTTGTTCTTTCTTTATTAATTTAGCTCATAATTTTATTTTCAACTTTTGCTTTTATTATTAAATAATTAATTTTATTATTTCATATTTTTTCCTTCTAATTAACTATTAAATGATATATTATTTCTTCAATATTTAAAAAGGTCTAATTAAATTGGTGCAATGGGTGCATCAGGCTTAGGTTCTGCTTTAGCAAATTGCATTAATCTCTCAAAATTGACACTTTACCTTGAGTAAAAACAATTTATTTGTTTTGGATTGTGATATTTTAAACTATAAAAATGAAATATAAAAGAAAAAAATTCTTTGAATTTATTTGATAGCTTTTATTTATTTTATTTTTTTATCTTTTTTATACCATTAATATTATTTAATTTATTAATTTAAACAATAATTTTTAATTTAAAAGTTTATAATCTATTTTGATATTTATTTTAAAATTTACACAAATTTATTATAAAAGTTTTAGCTCACTGGATGAATCATAAAAGTTCAAAGTATTAAGCAAGTTTCTTAAATCAAAAAGATTAGTTTTCTTTGGTTTCTCATGATAGACAACTGGTGAAAAAAGGATGAATAAATATAAAATGTTTGAATATTATTATATATTTTATTATATAATATTTTGAAAAAGTGTTTTTAACCTAAAATATAATAGAATAGATAGATTTTATTATTGATTTTATATTTATAAATATCATTCATATTTTTGTAAGTAAATAAATTATTTATAAAATAAAAAAATTAAATTTACTTAAATAAATTAAATCCTCATAAGCAAACCCTATGGTTTCTCCAAAATGATCAAATAATTTGAAACTTTTAGTGTTATATTACATTTTATTAAATTAAATAAATGCCAAACTTTTATATGCCAGTTATATTTTAATATTAAATATTATCCATCAATCATATTTCTATCCTTTTTTTTATTTATCAAGATTAATTAGATGCCATGATTTAAATAAAACCTCAGGGAGAAATCAAGTTTTACTTTTTATTTTAACTTTTGAGTTTGAAAATTATTTGATTATTAAATAATTAATTAATATTTTCTTTTAAAATAAATAAGCATGTAATATTGTAAAATAAAAATCTATTATAAATTAAAAATAAATATTATTTCTTAAATTACATTTTTATATTAAAATGTTATAAAATAAATCTTTTTTAATATAAAGCAAAATAAAATAATTAAATTTATTAATCTATTTTATTTATAGCAAATAGGAATTAAATTCTTAATTAATTCTCCACATTCAGAAGAATTCAATACCTGGAAAGACTATATTTAAGGATATTTTAAAAGAAAATAAATATAAAACTTTCATATTTAATTATTAATTTTAGGTAAAATATTTAATTTAATTGTTTGTTTTATTTAATTTATACTTTTACTATTAATGAATTTTATTAAATAAAATAAAATTATCCGCATATTACTCACAGCGAAATATCTTATCAAATATTTCAATTTAATTATCTATCAACAATCAATCAATCATTATTCTTAACATAGACTTTTCTTAAATATTATTATTATTAAATCAAACTAC